CCTCTGTAAACTTTTGTAGAGTTCTCGTAACTTGTTAAAAAAAATTTCTGTAAGATCATGTAATCGTATGTATAGATTTGTTCTGCTTACGTACCTGAATCTGTCTGTAATTAGACTGTGAATACTCTGTGGAGAAAGACAGCATTTAGTTCAACTTGTAATCACCTTGAGTAAAGCCATTCATTTAAATATTTACCCAGTGTCTACTAACTGACAGGTATGAAAACAAGACAGATAAGTACACAGGGAAATAAATACATAAAAGTGATACATTCTATCAATAAACTAAAAGAAGGTGAAAATAAAGGATGTCTAGCAGTGATGATGATGAGTAAGGCAGGCAGGTCTGAGATTGCATGGTCAGGAAAGATGTCTCTGAGGAGCTGCTGTTGGAATTGAGATCTGAATGACCAGAAGTAGCTAGGTATGAGAAGATCTGAAGGAAAGACATTCCCGGCATAAGGAACTGTTGATTCAAAGGCCCAAAATGGCAACAAGCTTGGAATGTTGGAATAACAGAAGGAAGGGCAGAATGAAAGGATCATAATAAACAGTTTGGGGAATGGATTGGGGTGAGGTTGAAGAAGTAAAGCAGGGACCATTTTGGCAAGTTCGAATATGGAGTTTGGATTCTATCCTAAGTGAAATGAGGAGTCATCATGACCTATTCAGTTTTCTATTTTAAAATAGCATTGCTGCTATGAGATGTTTGAATAGTGCCAGAGCAAGAGTGGAGGCAGAGAGACCAACTTGGGAACAATTGTAGTGGTCCAAGCTGGAGAGGACGGCGGTAAGAGGGGATAATGAGAAGATGTAGATAGCTTAGTATTTGTCCAGAAGAGAGTCAACCTGGAGGCTGATGAAGCCTGAGCTCCTGATCTTTCACCTACACGCCATCTTCTGAGGCCATTTGCTCATTCTGTACTAATAGTTTTATAATGTTTTTCTTAATAAAAAATGGTCCAAAGTTGTATAAACTTTAGGCCCCATGAAATCTGGATTCAAATTGTTTCTGTAAGTAGCAAAAAAATTTACCTAAGTATATTACCATAACGGTAAATCATGAGGGTATTACATATGTATGTATATATGTATACACACACACACACACACGCACTGATATTGGATTTGGAATGGATTCCAAAGCCAATTGTCCTAGGAACGTTTGAAAAGTTGCTCTCTATGATTTATAGGACTTTTGTTTTCCATGAGTTTTTACATGTTTCAAGGTAGAAAATATACGTATGTGTATATACATGTATATATGTAGACATATGTATACATATGTGCATATAAATACACATATATATTTCCTCATATATATTAGTATGCAAGAAATATCTCATTCGGTATATATTACATCATACACTATATATAATATATTTTATATCAATTATATATAAATATATATAATAAATGTAATGAGGAAACAAATGTAATGAACGAGTAAATGAAGAATACCTCATTAGTTATATAGATAATATATATAAAATAATATATTATATATGTACAACTAATGTGGTATTCTTCATTACTAATTCATATATTACTTATATAAATAATATATCTTATCTATGTTTAAAAATCTGGAAAGAAAATAAAATTCTATAAATCATAGAAAGCAGCTAGCCAAAGGTGCCCCAGACAATTGGCTTTCGAATCAGTTTAACTAATTCCATTGCCACCAGTGTCCACATTCCAAAGAAGCTCCACTTAAAAAAATACATAATTTTCTTAAATATTTCTTACTCTACTCTTTTGCCAAAGGTTTTTTGGAAAGAGACTGAAGCTGCCCAGAATCGAGGTAACTATTTCAAACAAGGAGTAATTTTGTGTTTTATCAAAAGGCACTGATTACCACTTAGGAAAACATTTCTATCTATAGCCAGATCCATCTGGATGAAAATGTCCATTAGCTGGGAAGTGGAACATGCACATGTTTTCCAACATATAATCATCTGAACTCTAAATAGCCAATCCTGCTATTTTAAGTGTCTTAATGTGCCTTTTTAACACATGTGGAAATACCAGTGACCTTAATTGTATATCCTTTCTCTATATACTAAAGACGCATTTGTATATATCCAGAAATATGCAGTTTTTAAATAACAGATTGGAGGAATATTAGACACAAATACTTCGCTATGCACCCTTCTATGCTTTGTGAAGGAGGTTTACATAAGGAGAAAGTACAATAAATGATTGACAGAAACAAAGACAGATTTTGGTATGATTCCTTCTTTTCTTTATTCTCTTATTTTTAATTTTGTTTTTTATTACAAAATAGTACATACTTATGTAAAAAGTAATACAAATGAAAGTTGCTCCATTCCCCATTTCCAAGTCCCAGAGATAATCACTGAAAATAATTTGGTATGTATATTTCTAGATCACATATCCATTCTCGCTCGTACAACATATACACACGCCTGTACATGTGTGTATATATTTGTTTTACAAAGATGAAATAAGGCAATAAAATTGTCTGCAATTTTTCCACTTGTACTATAGCAGGGACATAATTTCATATTATTACATCAAACTTTCTCTTTTTCTAATAGGTATATAGTATTCCATAATACTACCAATATACGTTTAATTCTCTCTCTCTCCCCTATTATTAATTTGTTACCATCAAAGTCTTTGTGCATATACTCAAGAACTTTCTGGAGAATATTTCTGTGTGTTATTTTCCTTAGAAGAGGAACTGCTAAGACAAAGCCTATTCATGTTTTATATCATGATGATTACTGAATGAATTGTTTTTCAAAAATGCTGTGCTAATTTATTTTTCCTCCAAAAAATGTTTGGCAACATCCCTTTTCCACACAACTGCCAACATACTAAGATCACATTTCTTATAAAAATGTTTGTTTTCTCTGGAGTTACTAATTGCTTCTTTTATTAGCATTCACTTGTTTTTCTGTCTACTTATTTCTATTCCAGGGCCAAATTTTTGGTTTAACATAATCTCCCAAATATAAATCTCCCTGTGCAATCCATACAAATCAAGTAGTCTATCAGTTCCTCTGATTGTTTGTGTCCTCTTTTCACCATCCCATGAGGAGCCCCATCCTTGTGACCCCTTAGAACTTCTAGATCTTAGATACTAAGTGTGGCTAGCATTCTGAGACTTCCCTCCAATATCGTCCCGGGAATTTCCTCCACCTTTTTCTAATATTTGAGCTCCTGTTTCTGGGATCTCATGACTTCCTTCTAGGATTACTATATTATTTTAGGAACAAATACTTTATGGAAGATTACTGAGAAAGTGCTTATGATAAATCAATTGCTTTAATTTGTGTGCCGGAAATGTCTTGATTCTAACCTTATACGTGGTCGGATTTAAAATTCTAGATTGAAATATTTTTTTCTGATAAATAATGTTTTTGTTATGGAATCTACACTGAATTCTGAATTTTTATATAGCCCTCAGTCTTTCCATTATATAAACTTTTAGGATTGTCTCTTTATTTATGGTATTTTAATTTCACAGTAATGTAAAGCTATGGGTCTTTCCTCATGCATTATACTAGAGACTTCATGAAACAAACTCATGTTTCTCCAAAAATTTTTCTTACATATTTTTTTTGATAATTTCCTTCCTCCTATTTTTTCTGTATTCTTTTCTGGGAGCTGTACAAATCTGATGATAAATTTGTCAATGACTCTCTAATTTCATTCTCTTTTCTAATTTTTTTTCCTGTTAGATTTCCTCAAATGTAAACACCAAGCTATTGACTTTAAGTTAGAATTTCATATCCTTGACTCTAGGAACACTTTCTTCTTGTACATTGCTTTAACATTCTTTTTTTTTCTCAATAGTATTTTGTTTTGTCGCATAATACAGTAGCTTCTCTTGCCTATAATATTATATATGGGACTTTCCCCGAAGTTCCTTCTGCTCGTTGAGTTTTCTCTTTCCTCTGACTTCTTTCATTCTGATTATTACTTTTTTTTTTCATGTTAAAGGATTTTATCAGATATCTGATGATCTTTGGCTGTGCATTCATATTTAATAGCAGCACATTAAAACTGTTATTAGAATCATGGTGTTTGTGCTGGGCTACAGTATAGAGGTCTTGTTGACTGGTGTTTTTGCTGCTCCCTTTTATAGTCCATTTCCCACAAGATGAATCTAAATTCTTCTGCCTCATGAATTTAAGTTTAGCTATCAACATGTCTAGACTGGAGGATAATCCCTTACTTGTGGAAAAGTGTCTCTTCTCTTCCTAACCAGTTTCTGATTTTACTGAGTACAAAGTCTCCAGGATAAACTTCTTCAGAGTGAAAGCTTCCTGCCTCCTATAAGATTTAGGCAGGACCAGAGACCTGGCTACTTGGGCAGATGAAAGAGATCTCAGGGTCTAACGCTTCCATAGACACCAAACACACCCTCACTTGTAGCCCTGCCATGTACTTTGGCCTTCAGAAGCCTGCTTTTAACTATCCCCCAGTCCCCAATATATCTCCCTCCCACACTCACACATGCTCTTCAGAGCAGCAAAACTCTGACACTCACTTTCTATATTCCACAAAGTCACTTTTGTCAACTCTTCCGGTTTCTTTGCCTTTCAGGCCCTATGTGCAATTAATTCCATTGCTGTAATTTCAGTAGAATTTTGGCACAGTTCAGAGATAAACACATGTGTTTGATCTTCAAGGTTTAAATGCAAGCCTAGAATTTTGATTCTTTTTAATTCAAGAACAAGTTATATGTTTCTATTTATTTAGGATTCCTGTTGTATTCCTTAATGGTGTTTTAAAGTTTTCTTTATATTAGTCCTACACATTTCTGTTAGGTATTTTCCTAGGTTTATTGGTTTCTTTAATATTTTGGCAATTCAAAACACAAACTTTTAAAATGCTCAGTCTTTCATCTGACAATTTCATTTCCACAAATTTGTCCTTGGAGAATAATCTAAAGTTCGCAGAGTTACGTAAAAAACAATGACAACAGGAACACAATTTTGTTTTATAATAGTCTATTTATACCACTTAAATATCTAAGGGGAAGAATATTTAGTAAAGAATGTTACATGCATCTGTGATTAAATGATTATAAAAGGCTGTCAATGTCTTGGGAACGTGTCTCAGATATAATTTACACATGGAAGATTAGAGGAATAGTGATAAAATCTTAAACATCTTTGTTTTAGGGTATAAAGATAATGAGTTTTTTCCTCCATTTTGCCTATTTGTCATTTTCCAAGTTTTCCACAATGTGAAAACGTGTTTTGGGATTTTTTAATTGGAAAAATCTTCATATCATGCATCTGACATAGTGAGGGAATGAGACAAGAGGTTTTTTTCAGATAGCTGATTTTTAAACCTTAAAGCATTAAAAAATATATTAACAAAGCAAAAGTTTCCAAAATGACACATTTCTTGTTTCCTGAAAGTGATCTAAGATACTCATTATAAGAAATTGAAATGTGCAATAACAATCTTAGAGCTTATAGGGAATTTATAGTTTATATTTATTTTTATAGTTATATTTATAGTTCGTATTTCTTCATGAGTATAATTAAACAGAACACAGTGATTTTATAAGTGTATAACTGAATCTCAGAACAGTCACAAGGCCTTTGCCAGGTCGTGTCCCTCATAATCACTGAGATCCAGGAGGTTCCTCTTTGTTGAAGGACACTTGGTACAGAAAAAGTCACCTTTAGAGAGGTTTCCAAAGGTGGGGTGAAAACTTTATAATGAACATTGACAATACTTGATTGGTCCAACTGGCTGATTTGAAATATACAGCGAAAAATTATAAAAAAGCGTTATTTAACTGTCGTATTTTTGGTTGTAATTATAAGTATAAGCTAATTTTTAGAATTAAAAAGAATGAATTGTATTAACTTGGGGGTAATTTTTTGGGCAAAATTAAATGATAGCACTATATTTTGAATGAACAGTCTAAAAGGGAGGGGTATCATTTTTGCAAGAATTTTCAAGGATTTTCTTCATCAAAATTCTGAAAAGCTCTTCATTGTTTGATATTCAAAATTATTCTCTCTTGAAAGATCTTTTTTTCTTTTCTTTTCCATTTCTCTTCTTCAGTCATTAACCACGCTCACTCTGCTTGTGTCTTCACTTGTAGATTGCTTTGCATTGGTTGTATTAGTTATCCAAAATCACTTTATTAGATTTCATGAAACCCTGCAATCCACATGATTAACAAGTTCCTTATCTTTTTTGCTTAGTATTTGTGTGAGTAGATTTTTACAATATCTGAAAAACAGGAAAGGTAGGATATGACAGAAATAAAACACAGTGCTTAGACTAAACAGAATATTTTAACAAATAATCAGTTCATTAGTGAATATGCTCATGTGATGATCACAGGAGCTGCCCTGTTAACTGTTACCATTGGACTAAATGGCCTTTCCATATGCAAGTTTATTTGTATCTATTCTCAATTGCTCTAAACTTTACTTTTGTTTAAAGTGTACAGTAGTTCTTTAGTCTCCAATGTCAACATTAGCTCTCCATTGCATGTCCGTTCTTACTGGTGTCGGTGGACCTAAGGCCAGCCTCCAACCCACCCTTCCCTGCCTGTCCTAGTTCTGATACCTCACCTCCTACTAGAAACACATTCTCTCTACTTTCCAGTTTCTTATAATGTCTAAAATAGCAGAAGGCAAGTTCCAGACAAAGGTATAATGGGCTGTCTCGTAAATTGTATGAGCTTTAAGATACAGATCCCATAGAAATTGTGACTTCTCTTTGACTGCTTAAAATGAGTATGGAGAATAATACTTCTGTAAGAAGTTACATATTACACACTCATACATACATGCACGTATATTCCAAGGATAAATACTGGAGGTTCTTTTTTGGTTGTTGTTAACTGCAAGACGTTTTAGAGCCTTTAATATGCTTTTCAGCAAAATAAATCTTCAATATGAAGACGTGATTTGCAGCGTATCTCAAAATCTAATTGACTTCAGATTTCTTTATTTTTTAAATGTCTTGATTTGATTACTGTTCAGAGAATATTTTGAAAAACCTAGCTTGAATATTCTTTTTTCTCACCTACTTCTGAATCTCATTTCATTTCCAGCAACTGGGAACATCACATGGCTCACATCCATAGAATTAAATTATTATATTTGGCATTTTAATCTTATCATGGGGCTCTGTGTACCGACATTTTACTTAAAGTCAAGTTCAATCAAAAATTTCAACTCTTTGTTGACACTTTCATAACATTTTCATTTTCTTTCTTGTTTTTTTCCCACCAGAGGTAATGAGTCACATTCTCCTTTGGCTTTCCCATAGACCAGTGGTCCTCAATGAAGAATAGGGGATGGGGACAGTTTTGCTCCTGAGGGGACATTTGGTAATGTCTGGATAGATTTTTGTTTGTCACAATTTGGAGAGAAAGGCTGCTACTGGCATCTAGTGGGCCAAGGCCAGAGAGATTGCTAAACATTGTCCACTGCAAACGATAGCCCTCAAAACAATTAGTAGTAGAGCCCAGGTTGAGAAAAACTGCTGTAGATGGCTGTGCTTTCCACAAATCCGTTTCTACAAACCTCTGAAGTGATGTTGTGGTAAAAATCTGGGAATGCCCAAGTTAAACTAAAAACCAGAAGGTATGTTAATACGAATTTCTTCCCTTTGAGATAAAATAAACATTGACAAGGAAAAGACAACTTTCTCAAACCCCAAATGTGCAAGTCTAATTATAAACTCTTAAATAGTCTAAAACAAACACTAACCAAACTTGATAGGTAAATTAATGCCATGGGCCAATCTCATGCAAGGCTCATGTGCTGACGCTTTTCTTAACATTTTCCCTCCTTTCTAATATTTAGATTGAAAGTGGATTTCTAATTCTTATTCCACTCATTACTTAACAGGAACACAGAGGTCACCGCAAATAAAGCAGTATGAGTTAATGAGAACAGCTTTAGCCAAAGAGGAGGTATTTCTCCAAGTACATCAAGTGCTTCACATATATTAAGAAACCCCAGCTGAATCGATTTAATAATGTTGGGATTTACACAATTATTACGGAACCTTCATTATTCAGCCAGTCTGCGCATACCACAGCACAAATGAACATCTCAGTCTGGTGGTATTAACATTGCCATTTTCTCACCCGTTCCCAGACCATCTGCTCAATGCTGATCATTCATGGCTTTAACATTTAACAGTTACCCAACTGCAACTTAGCAGATTTGTGTACTTTTGAAAACAGCTGGTTTAATAACTGCTTCAGAGCTTTTGGATAAAGAAATTATTTTGTAGTGCTTTATAATAGTCTTTTTTTATCGGTGCCTCTAAGGAAAGAGTTTTACACTTGCTCCATTTATGCATCTGCAATCGCTCGTAATATTTCTTGTCACATTTGGAAACATATTTTCAGTATTTATAGCACAATCATGTAAGAAGTCTTTATTACCCTCCTTGTTTTTGCTGTTTGTTTTTTTAAATATCTCTGAGGACTAGAGTGAAACCTTTTGCATGGAATAATTGCGAGAGGCACAAAGGTATAAATTTCAGTTGTCTCAGTTTCAACTCACTCGCTATGTCATATGAATTTGTTTCTACTTCAGTAATGTTTCTCTTTTTCCTCTCAGAGAAAATGAAAGAAAGAAAATAACTACTTGTTTCAATATTCCAGGCCTCCAAGTAGATATATTTCCCCTGGGTAGTTTACTAGGTAACTTTGTGACTTGGTTGCTCTGTTCAAAACTGGAAGTGGCCTAAGAGGTGCTTCTGAGTGCTGGCACTGTTCTGATTTCTTGATCTGTGGAGGGGTTACATATGCATGTTTACTTGTGAAAAATTTTTGAGGCGTACATTTTGCATCCTCTTTTGTATGTATATCATATTTCAATAAAGTGTTCAAAAATTTAAAAAAAACAAAAGGAAAACTTTCCTGGATTCTCTGCATGTGTATAGGCTAAATCCTAAACTCTTTATAATGACACAGAAGGTCATTGATCCTGACCTGACTATGGCATCAGTCTAATATTCTACCATTCCTCACTTTACACACGTTCAGCAATACAGAGCTGTTGGACAGTTTCTAATACAGCTTGCTGATTCACTACATATGGGTTTGCCACTGATTCTGTTCACTGGTAGTGGTAAGTGAGGAGAGTGGCTTTCTGTTTAGTGCAACCTCCTGACTCTTGTAAACCGAACTCAGCGTCAAAACATAAACACTAATATTTGTCAATTGACATGCTATGTCTAATAAAATCTCTTAAAAATCCTATAGCTTTATGGGGATTTATTTTTGTCCTTTTCCCTGGTCCAAGGCATCTTGTATAAATGCTTTTTTGTAAAAAACATGGCTTTTTAGCTTAATCTTTTTACATATTTAAATTTCATAACTTACCTGTCACTGTCTTCAAAGGCTCAGAGGTTTTGTTATATGATTCTTTTCTCATCAGTTGGAAGCTAAATCAAAACCTACCTTTTAGATACATTAAGATACAAGAGAAAAGACTTCTGCCTTCAGTTGAGATGAAATAAGAGAAGCTGGATTTTATCTTCTCATTTGAAACAAACACAACAATAAACAGATGAAATAGAAAATGATCATATTCAAGGTTCTAAACATCAGACAAGAAAGGAAAGAAATTCCTGACAGACAGAACATGAAGGACTAGGGTGGCTAAAATTCCTAAGACAGAATAACAATGAGAAGAGAGCTACATAAAGAGAGAATCTCAGAAATCTGCAGAGACCAGATGTAACTTTCAGCATAGTGGTGATTAGACCATGCACCAAAGAAACTGTCTGAAGCTGTGGAAAGAATCATCTGAAAGGATAATAAGAAAGAGCTCTAAGCACTCACATAGGAACTAGACTAGTACCTGTTTTGACCAGCCAGACTAGAACACGTCAAAACTCACAGAAAATTGGCTAGAGTACTAAAAAGGATCGTGCTTCGGGAGTGAGGATTAATTAGACCTAGATTAAATGATGCTCTGGTCCTGCCTAAAAGATCAACTTACTTTCTTTGTTTTTACAAGTAAATTTAGTGTATCCTAGACTAAAAGTAGTATCTATATAGCTAATATAAGTATAATATACTATGAATATATATAAGTATATGTATTAAGAATATATAAATATCCCGCTCCCAACAAGATTCAATTTGCAATGTAATTGTAAGTTACATTGTAAGCATCCAATTTACATCCTAATTACATTTGTAAGCATCCAAAGAAAAAGGAAAATATAACATAATGAGGAGAAGAAACAATTAACTGAAACCGGTTTAGAACTGATATAGTTATTAGAATTAGCAGAAAAGGACATTAAATACTTATTATAACTGTATTCCATATTGTCAAAGAGATAAGTAGCGACATGGAAGATTACAAAGAAAAAGATTCAAATTAAATTTGTAGAATTGAAAATCAAAATCCTTGAGCTGAAAAATACATTGGATAGAATTATTTGAATATTAGATATTACAAGAAAAAATGATAGTGAAATTGACAACATAGCAATACAAATTATCTGAAATGAAACATTTAGAAAATAAAACTAAAAATAAAAAAATGAATGAGTAATCTAATATGTGTCCAGTTAGAGGCCTAAAAGAATATAAAGTACACAGAAAAAAAGCATTGGAAGAAATAATGGTAAAGAAATTTGCAAACATAATGAAAACCATAAACCCATAGATTGAAGAACCTTAGCAAAACTCAAGACAAGATACAAGAAGAAAACTTCACCAAGACACGTCATAATGTAACTGCTCAAACCCAGGAATGAAGAGAAAATTTTACAAGAAACCAGAAACAAGGTAAATACAATAGAAGACTTGTCAATAGAAACAACGCAAGTGAGAAAACAGGTGATCAAATTTTTCAAAATAATGAAAGAAACAAAACTATTAACCTAGAATTCCATATTCATCAAAAATATCTTTTTAAAGCAAAAGTGAAGCAAAGACATTTTGAGACACACAAAAGTTGAAAGAATTACTTATTTCCAGATCTATGTTATAAGGAAGAGTACAGAAAGTTCTTCAGATAGGAGGAAAATGATATGTGGTAATATGAATCTATACAAAACACTGATGAACACTGTAAATGGTAACTGCATGGGTAAATATACAGTGTATTTTTCATATTTTCCAATATCTTTAAATGATGATTGACTATTTAAACAAAAGTAACAGGTTACTGTGCAACTCGTAATATATATAAAAGCAAAATGAATGAAAACCAGCATTAAACTCAGAAGGGAAGAAATGA